AGTAGAGATTATTTCTTTTCCTCTGTGTTTGATAGCAAAAATTTCAATATTACCAAGAGAGAAAATTATTATTTTAAAACAACCCTTGGGAACCAATAAGATAGCACATGTTTATTTAAACACTAGAGGTCTGGTGCATGGTATTTGTGCACTGGTAGGGGGCATGGCCTGCAGGGATCAGCCTTACTGTGGGAGCACCACTCATCCCGGCCTGCAGAGCAGCTGTGGACCTGCCCTCTGAGCGGCTGCTTCCTGGTCTGGCATCTTATGTGGAGCCGGAGCACTTGCTTCTCCAGGGGATCCAGTCATGGCTTGGCCCAGGGCAATGGCACTTAGAAGCAGCAGGAAGCAAGGAGGAGAAGCCTGGGACAAGGAGGTGAGGGCCACAGCCCAGGTCCCTCCCTGTGGACCTAGGGTTTGCAGTGGAGCAGCCACTCATCATAGTCAGCCAAGCAGCATGCCCACTGTGGTAGCACACTGACCACCGGGGGCAGCTCCTATATGGAGCATCTTCCCCCTGGTGGTCAGTGTGTGTCATAGCAACTGGTCGAGGACATTCTGGTTGTTCAGCCATTCAGTCACTGGGCTTTTTTTATATAAGATTTATAAGCTTACAAAATACTCCTTTGATGTAATATAGTAGGTTATTGTATTTTCATAGCTCCTTTCCCTACTAGACTTCATTTACTTCAGATCTATAACTTACTCATTGTTATATTCCTAGCTACTCAGCTATCTAGCACACAGAATAAATAGTTAATAAATGTTTGTGGGATAAATGGATGAATTTATGAATGAATTAACTTAAGCCATTTCTAGTTCAGACACTATATAACTCTACTTTTGTTACCCTTTTCAGCAAAATTTTATGGTTCATTTTACATACTAATTAAATAGCAATTTTAAGTGACTTGATTTTAGATTCTTTCCAAAGCATCTCATTTTATTTCATTAAAACAAAAACTTTTTACACTCATTTCTTCTTTGGTTTTCTTAGTATTCAATTGAATTACCTAAAAAAAAAAAAATAATAATACAACTGGCATGAATAGGCTCATGTTTAAAAATAACTGACCATTGGGAATGCACACAATTTAACACTGGAAGCATAAGTAGGGAAATGAATTAGAAAGTGCCCCAAAGGCAATAAGCATTCAACATGCAGAGGACATTAGTCACTGTGTTTTTAGGAGAAACAGAACAAGTGAGCCCATGTGGAAGTCAAGTAAGAGAAAGCTGACTCACTTGCATCTGGCCACCTCAGTTTGCCAACAGGATCCTTTTATTTATTTTTTAAAATATATTTTTGTTGATTTCAGGGAGGAATGAAGAGGGAGAGAGAGATAGTAACATCAATGATGAGAGAGAATCATTAATAGGCTGCCTCCTGCATGTCCCGCACTGAGGATCCAGCCTGTGCCCTGACCGGAAATCAAACTGTGACCTACTGATTTACAGGTCGATGCTCAACAACTGAGCCACACAGACCAGGTGCCATGCTTTTAGAAGATTGATCACCCTGTTCTCCATCATAAGCTTTTCTAAAAGAACCTGAATATTTCTTTGCAGTGCGTGTGTGTGTGTGTGTGTGTGTGTGTGTAAAGTTAAATTTTAAAAGAAAATCAGATGTGAGGAAAAAAAGTCCATAGTTGCTTTGTTACAAAAATATCCTAAAATCTGGGAAATTAGCCCAAATCCTAGAAAGATTTAGATTTCATATCAGACCAGCAGAATCAACCATTTAAGAACTTTCTAGTAAAAATGTGAGCATAGAAACATGATTGGGATTAGATGAAAGAAAAAAATTAAAAATATATTGGGAAAGTAATGTCATAACTTGCACTTGGTTTATTTCAAAGTTACCCTTGAACTTAATTTTTAAATATACTGTTTGCTTAATATTACTTAAGCTTAAAAGATTTAATAATGATATTTTTCAAAATAGCAGTTTAGTTACACCTTTATTTAAACTCTTAAGCCTATTGTTTGAATTATATGACCATTGTAGTATATTCTTGGAACTTGCAGCTCATCCACAATTCAAAATTTAATTTCAGTGAGTAAATAAACCTAAACCTTGGTACAGAGCAACCACAGAAATCATAATAGTGTGTGTGTAAGTATATAAAGTTTTGCTTTTCACTTTCCTTTCAACATTGAACTAAATATATTTGTTTTTTTAATATATAATTTTCTTAATGACCTATTATTAAGTTATATTATTAGAGAGTATTTAGAGTATATGAAAAAGTGTTTTGAGTGGCAAATTACTTTCTAATTAAATCAGTACTATTTCTTGCAGCAGATTACTAGATATTGCTGATGTTACTCATAAAATACCTACCAACAGACCAGGAAGGAAACACAATTGTGTAATAGGTCAGAGCTGCATGTATCTTGATTTGTACAAAAAGACTATCTTATGTTAAACGAGTGTTTCAGAGGAAGTTTAAGAGTTTTGTGTAAACCAAGATGTTGTTTTAGTAATGATATATACACCAAAGTAAACTACTTTAAGATAAATAGTTAAATATTATACAAATATATATGGACAACTCCTTTGGCCTTCACCAGCTTTGAAAGCAAATGTGCAATACAATTATGGTTATTCCCATCTCTAGAAAAACATAAAATACATTACTCAATGGATATACTTTGCTGATATACGTTTGTACTACAAAGACACAAAGCAATAAACATTGATAGTAACAAGCTATTGCTAAAATCTTAGTATCAATATTTACTCCTTACCAAAACTTAATCTGTTCTACCTTTATTATTTTCCACCTTCCTCTTTATTTAGGTTCTCTTTTTATCACCATGGAAATTGTATGAAAACAAATACTTCCTCTGAACTATCCTTTCTTTTGTACTTGATCTCACAGGACAGTCTCTCCCATTATTCAAAAAGATTCATTTGTACATCAAAGCACACGCAACAAAAGAAAAAATAGATAAAATGGACATCACCAAGTTAAAAACCTTCTTGCAGCAAAGGACACCACCAAGAGACAGAAAAGATAATAAAATAAGAGAACATTTTTTTCAAATTATCTGATATGGGACTTGTATCTACATAAAGAATTATTATAACTCAATGATAAAAAGACAAGTAGCCCAACTTAAAAAATGGACAAAAGATTTGAATAGACATTTCTCCAAAGAAGATGTACAAGTCACCAATAGCATATAAAAAGATCGGGTTTCAACATCAATAGTCATCAGAGAACTGTTAACCAAAATCCCCAAATCGCAGTGATCCACTGCTCACACTCCCTAAGATGGCTATGATCAAAAAGTCAGATAATAACAAGTGTCAGAGGATGGGGAGGAATTGGGACCTTCATTCACTGCTAGTAAGAATACAAACTGGTACAGCTGCTTTGAAAAACAGCCTGCTCATTTTCCAAGTGGTTAGGCATACAGTTAGCATATAATCCAGCAATTCCACTCCTACCTACAGACCCAAGTGAAATGGAAACCTATGTTCACACAACCGTTCATAGCAGCACTCTTCACAATAGTCAAGAAGTAAAAACAACTTTCAATGTTCATCAACTGATGCAAAATGTGAAATTCATATAATGGAATATTACTTGTCAACAAAAAGGAATGTAGTACTGACATGTTCTACCACATGGATAAACCTTGAAAACATTATGCTAAGAGAAAGAAGCTGATCACAAAGGACTGTGTATTATACTTATGGCTCTATTTATGTGAAATGCCAAGAATAGGACAATCTCTAGAGACAGAAAGTAGATTGGTGCTTTCCTGGGGCTGGAGGTGATGGGGAAATTGAGAGTGATGATTCTTAGAAAAAGAAAAAAAAAAAAACAGTCCATCTTCTGTCCATCAAGCCCTGATATAGCAAAATGTCAGTAAGGCTTCAAGCTTTTGGAAACCTTCTCATGAGTCTACATGTTCTGGATTTATCGTCAAAAGCCCTGAATTTTGTGTCCTATCTTCCTCAAGCTGTATGACCATGAGAAATTTACTTAACCTTTCCAAATCTTCCTAACATAGAGATCATCATAATCACCCTTCAGGCTCATTGCAAGCGCTGAATGAGACATCATAAGTCAAACTGTAAATCCCTATACAAATGGGAGAGGTTGCTATTATCAGTTCTGCAGACGAGGGGCCTTGATTTTTAGTTCACAAGAAGTCAGGCCCAAAGAGGTCTGACTCACATCATCCAACACATCTTACACAGGAGCCAGAGTCTTAATTTACAGTGAGATATCACCCTACCAGGCAAATTGGACAGTCGTGTCAATCTGTCCACGCATTTCTTTCCCAGGAGAGAAATCTAATTGGAAAATTCAATTACCATTAGAAGATTGCTTGGAGAATGCAGAGTCATGGCTGGGGGAGTTGGATTATCCTGGGAACATTACCATGAAGACACAGCAAACTAATGAACTCCCTCCCTTTTCTACAGAAACAGATCTGCCAAGCAGACTGAATACCCTTCCTTCCTTAGTGCAGGAAACAGCTCACATAAATACCCATTCTTCGGGTATCCTCCTCCTACTCAGGGTATTTGTGAATACCTCAATTTCATCATTCTTCATTTCATGCATTGTTATAACAAACCAATTCTCAAATTTCAAACTTCTTTTGTATTTATGGTATTTTGCAGGTAGACTGCTTCCCTGATGACTATTTGTGACCTACAATCCTCCATTCTCCCCATAGAAACATTGATCCAATCAAGGTCTCTCAGAGACTGCTAATCTAATCTATGTGGTATGGCTTCTTTTCTGATCCAGTTAGTTGCCTTGTTTTCTTCCAGACAATTTTTCTCTGACCTAAAAAAGTCCAATTCTCTATAAATGTGAATTATTATGATGACTGTGAGCTCTGCAGATCAATACCTTGATGGTCAGCCATCATGTGGTGATTAGAACCTGCTGGTAAAGCACGTCCTCAGCCCCCACTGGCCTTCCTTCTCTCCCAGGACCCACTCACCACCACTTGTATTATTTTTTTTCTGGTGTTGCACTGGCAACCGTAGTCTCCTGTGTCCACTCGGACAGGAGCCCCCAATCCAGTCCCATTGCTGTCGCTCCCAAAGGGCAGTTCAAGACCATGTCGATGGGACCAGCCCTGAGAGCCTACCACTTGTATTTTTTAAAATCAACTTCACTTTGAAAGAATTTCAAAAATAGAGAAATGAAATGATGTTCAAGTTACTGGACCATTGATGTCCATTCATTTTTATTATTATTGAAATTTTTTTTATCATTCTAGAATGGAAAATTAATTATGAATGGATTTAGCTGGTCTTTCCAGAAATGTGGGTATCATTGTGGATGTCACAAAAGATGAAAATGGGAAGAAAGGGAATTTCAGAGTCAGAGAATTGGAGAGTTCTGACCCAGCCTCTCAATGTGCCTTTGTCCAGGTACTTAACTACTCTGTACCTCTCTTTATTTCTCCATTACTTATTTCCATTGCTGGCGTCCTGCAATAGTGAAAAATAATGCAGGATAACTAGGATTGTACCTGGCATGTTGTAGGTACAATGTAAAGGCAAACTCTTATTTTTGAGACCCTTGCCTTCCTTAAAGAGGCTTCTATCACTGTGAGTTTAAAAGCAGGATTGGTCATGGGTATTACATGGGCTTCCAAAGCTATGGGCCTTCCTGTTCCTTATTTGAAAAGTAAAGAGAAAGTGATACTTTCATGTTTAAAAGTAATAACAGTGTGGTTAAATAACTCTTCCTCAGCACACTGAATTTTTTTTTATACATTTCAAAAAAGTGGCTCAGTGTATTATAGAACCTAACTAAGGTTTATAGGGCAGACTCTTAAGAAATGGTCTTCTCTGTAGAGAAAACAAACAGTATCTGTACAAATTTTCTCATCTGACCTCACCTGCTATTTCGGGAGAGAGAGAAAGAAGCCCACAGCATTACAAGCCTCTGACTTCAAAGAGTCTTAGTTTTTAAAGTGCTGTTTGACTTGGAAAAGTCATGGTCAGATGCTTAAGCTTTTTAAAAAATCAAACACCATTTAAAAGTCCTGCTAACTCGATGTCCCAGGTTTTATAACCTGATTCTTTTCCAGAAAGGAAATAATGATCTGCAAAAGTAATACTCTGTAATGAAATATTTTTAGTGAGTTAAACTTTTTTACTTTCTAAAAGTGTTCTAAATGTTGATCACATGACTGCAGCTCTTTTACTGAATAAAACAGATGCAGAAAAAGAACAATCTAAGACAAAAGACCTGGTACAGAATACCAGGTATAACACAGTCTTAAAGAAAGCAAAGGTAGTTCTTCAGATTTCTTCTTTTTAAGATGATGCTTTCTGGGTTGTTCGTTTTCTTTCAGGATTCCTAAGCCTGTGTTACCTCACCATGCCCTTTTTAAGTCACTCAAAGAAAGGTTGTGCCCTATTTTTCATTCAACCCTTGTATTAATCTTCTCAGGTTGCCATAACCAAATCTCATCAACTATGTGGTTTAAAAAACAAATTTTTCTTTTCTTACAGTCCAGAGTCTAGAAGTCTATGGTCAGGGTGCCAGCATGTCTGGTTCTGGTGAGAACTCTTTCTGGCCTCTAGGTGACTGTCATCTTGCTCTGGGTTCCATGACCCTTTTGTATAAGGTATAGAATAAATGGAAAAGAGAGAGAGATAGTGAAGTAGCTCTCTGGTCTCTCTTCTTATAAGGATTTTAATGCCACCATGAGACCTTCACCTTCATGACCTCATCTAAGCCTATTCACTTTCCAAAGATTCCATCTCTAAATAACATCACATTGGAGGTTAAGGCCTCACATATGAATTGAGGGTGGGAGGCACACTTTTCATTCCATCACACCCCTATAATCTTCTACTGGAGGCAAAGACCAACAAGTAATTAACATAATAAATGTGAAAGGTCCATCAGAAGGCTGATGGACAGTGGGGCTTTAGCAAGGGCTAAAAGCTATGCACTGGTTGTTCTGTCCATACAATGGTGGCTGAAGGCAATCTCCTAACCTGATAATTTTTTACTGTTTACCAAACCTTACCTTTGATACATCCATTTGGTTTGCTAAAGGGAAAATGTGTATTCTAGCAAATAAAAAGCAGTGGGTCTGGAGATTCAGGATGCCATTCCACTAGAGAAGGGCCTCCACCTGGATTTCCCCCACACCTTCTAAATTTATATTTCTTGTCTAGTATATCCATTTGCATATAGCCCCTTCTCCAGATTCTGAATCATTGCTGCAAAAGTTTTCAGCAATCCTTTTTACCATATCACTTCACTGAAATTTAGTGGCTTTATGACTTATTCTGCCTTGTAGTGTGACAATTACATAACAAATAAAATAAACTGATATACTCATAGAAGGTAAGTAAAAAAGTTGGTAGACAATGAGAAATACAGGCTATCCCACACACCAGAATACTCAAATTGGCACAGACTCCAAATTCTAAGGAGCTCTTTTTGGAAAGTCAAATTATAATCAGAAAGCTGATTGCTAACCAAGAATTCAGAAGACAAGATGATTTGCATAATTAAAATGTTTACTGTTGTGAGGCTAAGAAAGACTGATAAATCCAGCTCCACTGTAGAAATAGCCTTAAACCAAAGGGACCATGAGAACTAGAATATATTGGCAGGACTTCCTCTCCCTGCAGAGTGCCTTAATTGGCCCTCCAAAATCACTTCCATTTTTCACACTTTTGTTGCTAAATAACACTAGGTAAGATGGAGCCCTCCTGTCTTACTCAGGACTTCCCATGGCACCCCTTTAGCAGAGAGATTATAATGCGGGATCGCAGAATAGGAGCTTGGGGGTCAGTTGACTCCATTTTGAAACTAATTTTTGACACTTCTTGGCCCCATAACCTTGAAGACTTTGTTGAAAATGCCCTAAACATCATTCCTTCATTGCAAAATTAAGAAAATAATTCCATTTAATTTGCAAGGTTGTTGTATTATGCTCTTAATGCTTTTAGCACATTAGCCTTAGAAAGTACTAAGCAACTACCCTGTTTCCCCAAAAATAAAAGTGTCTTATATTAATTTTTACTTCCAAAGATGCACTGGGTCTTATTTTTAGGGGATGTCTTATTTTTCCATGAAGAAGAATACGGTACACATTTATTGTTAAATGAAAATAAAGGAAATTTATTACCTGTATATGGTACGCTAGTACGGTAGTTGTCAACACAAACCAGACAAACTGTGAATCCTATAGTATCAAGAATTTACTCATTTATTCAATGACAATCATGTCATCATCTTCTAGAACATCATCATAACAGTCCAATTCCTGAATTTCCTGGTGAATTTCTTGTGACTCCATTTCTTTCAGAATCAGTGGCCCAAATCTCTCATGTTTAGCCTAGGGGGGCCTTATTTTTGGGGGATGCCTTATATTTCACTCAGAAAAAAACCTGTAAGTAGGTCTTATTTTCGGAGGATGTCTTATTTTGGGGGAAACACGGTATTACCTATTATTTAGTGGGAATTTGCAATCTCTGCTTTAATTCATTATATAATTTTATAGTTTAACTCCCAGGGTTCAATCTATTGTCTCTTATTTCCACCTTCTATGAACTAGGATTTATCTCATCTTTGCTCATAAAACCTACCATATTGATGATAGCCACAGGTGATATAACTTTCTAGAGCGCACACTGACTGCTTTTCTACTTGATTAGATGACATAAACTAAGAGGACTTTTTGAGATAATGTTATTTAGCACTTTTCCAAAATAATTGTTTAAACCAGTGGACAGCAAACTCATTAGTCCAACAGAGCCAAATATCAGCAGTACAATGATTGAAATTTCTTTTGAGAGACAAATTTTTTAAACTTAAACTTCTTCTAAAGACACTTCTTCAAAATAGACTTGCCCAGGCCATGGTATTTGGTGGAAGAGCCACACTCAAGGGGCAAAAGAGCCGCATGTGGCTCATGAGCCACAGTTTGCTGACCAAACTATCACTGTGAAAAGTTCGTAACAGCATTTAAATAAGAAAATAACTATAGAGGTCAAAGGCAAAGGAAACTGCTTATGTTCTCATGAGTTTGCCAACACCCTTGGTTACCCATCCCTATTTCTTATACTTTCTTTTTTGCAAAATATAATGCAACAACCCAAAGCATATACACTGCCTTTATTAATAATTATTTCCTTGCTTTTATTTATAATTTTTCTACCTACATATATCTGCCTATTATAGTTTAGTCTGTTTTGAACTTTATATAGAGATGTTCACACATTATTTTTCATTTGATTTCTTTGTCTTAATTTTATGTTTTCAACTTTCATTCATGATGTTGGATATAGTTGGAGTTCATTCATTTCATTACTATCTGATATCATATTCTATGAATATAACACTATTTATCCATTCACTTTTTATATAAATTATTTTGGTTCCTGTTTTAGCTACTACAAATAATTCTTCTTTAAATATACTTGTACATGGATTTGGGTGAATCCATAAAAGAAGAAAAAAGAGCCAGGACCAGTTTGGCTCAGTGGAAAGAGTGTCAGCCTGCAGACTGAAAGGTCCCTGGTTCGATTCTGGTCAAGGGCATATTCCTTGGTTGCGGGGTATGCAAGAGGCGACTGATCAATGATTCTCTCTCATCAATGTTTCTAATTCTCTATCCCTCTCTCTTCTTCTCCGTAAAAAAACAATAAAATATATATATTTAAAAATAATACAATAGACACTTTAAAACTGAAAAATGTGATATATCAATATAAGAACTCAGTTGCTTGGTTTAGCAGCAGGTGAGACACTATTCATTGACAAAAAGATCAATACAAAAAAAAAAAAAAACGACAAAATTAAACACAGAGAAAAAGGATGGCGGGGGCGGGGGCAAAAAACAACAATATTCTAATGGAAAAATAAAAACCCACAGAGAAAAACTTTGATGTTGTCTTGTGAGACGTCCCCTGGTCTCCCCAGTCAGAGCTCTTATCTTCCCTTGGCCACCTGACTGGCTCAAGAGCTGGCATGTGATTCAGGTTTGTGCAATCAGAGATAATCTTGGAACTTGGGCTTGAACCACAAGAATAAGATGCTCTGTTTTCATTGGACTTGAACTTCGGTCTTAGATATTTACCTGAAATTTCTAGACTGATGTTTAGCTAGA